CAACAGTCTCACTCTGTCACCCAGGCTGGAGTGCAGTGGCCCCATCTCGGCTCACTGCAAGCTCCACCTCCCGGGTTCACGCCATTCTCCTGCCTCAGTCTCCCGAGTAGCTGGGGCCACAGGCGCCCACCACCACGCCCAGCTAATTTTTTGCATTTTTAGTAGAGACGGGGTTTCACCATGTTAGTCAGGATGGTCTTGATCTCCTGGCCTCGTGATCCACCTGCCTCGGTCTCCCAAAGTGCTGGGATTACAGGTGTGAGACACCGCGCCCGGCCGAAGAAGACACTTTTTACTGCCAGAAAAATCTGGTTTCAAAAGTTGGCAGAAACTGATTAATGTTAAGCCATCTTGTGAAGCTGCCAGAGCAAAAAGGTGTCCTGCTCTGAAACGTGCACCTAGATTCCAAGGACTGGTTAAACACAGGGGCATGATCGTTGTCAAATATTCTATGCGAATAAAAGTGTTTGTGATGAAAAAGACGAAAATGTCCCAGAGGAAGTGATCTTGACAAAATAATTTACACTAACGAATTCTTGGGGCCGGGCACAGTGGCTCACGCCTGTAATCCCAGCACTTTGGAAGGCCAAGGCAGGTGGATCTCTTGAGGTCAGGAGTTTGAGACCAGCCTGGCCAACATCATGAAACCCTGTCTCTACTAAAAATATGAAAGACCTGGGCGTGGTGGCACACACCTGTAATCCCAGCTACTAGGGAGGCTGAGGCAGGAGAATCACTTGAACTCAGGAGGTGGAGGTTGCAGTGAGCCAAGATGGCGCCACTGCACTCCAGCCTGGGCGACAGAGTGAGACTGTATCTCAAAAAAAAAAAAAAAACCTCTTGGAGACATTTCATGACACTGACAGCTGAAAGCACAAAGGAGAAATGATGGTGGGAAGCTACTCCAAACTTAGAAGGGAGGATGACAATTCCCCAACATGTGGGAAAGATGCTCCTTTAGTATTTTAATTCACATCATGAGAAGGGGACAAGCTCTGTTCCAAGAAAGAAATAACTAATTTTCCATGTTTTCAATGCTTTAATTACAGCATACTCAGTAAATATTAGTTTTGTTATTTTTATTTCCCTATGCATTTATAACTGATAGTAAGAGCGTTTTTAATGTTATAGGAAAATTATTAAAGCCCACAGAACAACTGTCATTTTTCTCATTGATTATCGAGATGCTTCTCATGGTTTCGGCTTGCATGGTCAGTTTTGCAATCCTGTGCTATCACACAAAGTGAAGAATGACTATGCTTTTCTTTGAAATAACCAAAAGCAACTGTATGAAAGAAATCTATGGAACATAAAAAGCTCTTGGAAAATTCAGTAGAAGAATTGGAAGATAGAGTTGAGAAAATATCCTTGAAAGTTGAATAAAAGGGCAAAATATGGAAAACCGTAAGAAAAACGATAAGAAAATTGGAGGTACAGTCTAGGAATTCAACATCTGGATAACAGGAGTTCTAGCAAGATACAATTAAGAAAACAAAAGGAAGAAAACCATAAAAAATAATTTTTAAAAAGTTCTCATGAGTTTCCAGAACAGACGTATGACATTAAGACACACAATTGACTCATGGTTGTGGAATTTCAGAAAATTAAAATGAAAGAACTTTCTTGGCTTGGTGAGATAGCTCATTCTGATAATTCCAGCATTTTGGGAGGCCAAGGTGGGAGAATCACTTGAGGCCAAGAGTTTGAGACCAGCCTGGGCAGCATAGCAAGATCCTCATCACTACAAAAAAATTAAAATTAAAAAATTAGTCAGGTATGGTGAGGCAGGCTTGTAGTTCCTGCTACTTGGGAGGCTGAAGTTGGAGGATCACTTGAGCCTAGGAGTTTGAGGCTGCCGTTGGCCTTAAATGAATCAAGACCCTGCCTCTTAAAAAAAAAAAAAAAAAAGTTCTTTAAACTTTTAGAAAGATAACTATGAATTTCATATAAAGGACCAAGAATTTGGATGGTATTTTTCTCAATAACAATACTAGAAGCTGAAAGACAACGGAAAAATGTCTTTGAAGTTCTGAGTGAAAATGATTTCCAATTTGGAATTCCATACCTAGCCAAAATATCTCTAAGACTTTAGATAAGACATATTTTTCCTGGATTTGAAAGGTCCTTAAAATTTCCATCTCAAGAACCTTTTCTCAGGAGTCTCTTGCAAAATGTGTCACACCAAAACAAGCGAATAAAACAAAAAAGACAAGGCTTGGGATTCAGAAACTGGTATCCTACAAAATGAAGAGTTCAAGGATCTGCTCACCCTGCAGAATGGTCCTGGAGACATTTCAAAATAAAGACAACGAGCAGATCTAGGGAGCTGTCAGTCCAGACTGCATCAGGTCAAAAGGAGGAAGAGTTTCAGGAAGACACAATTGATAGCATATATAATATATTTGAGATTTTTGAGAAAAGGCTTATACAATTGGGAGAGGGCTCTAGGCTGTACTAATTATAAGTATATAAACAACTGA